GTAAATTTCTGGTATTTGGGATTTTCCGGGACAGCAGTAAACTCAAATATTGATGAACGATCGACTTGGAACAAAAAAAAAAAGGAACGAAGAGCCAACCATGTACAAATATTCGAACATCGTGCCTTTTTCGACTGGCAACACCTCGTCTGATATTGTTCAAAATGGCAAATATTTGCCATATTAAGTATAATGGTAAACAAACACGAAACATCATTAAATCTTATCGACGAGGTATTTTATCACGAGAAGATTGCCATGACGAGCAAAAAGAAAAAAAATGAAGGAAATTCCGAACCCTTTGGATCGTCTCAGGTACTTTGATCCACAGTCGATTAAAAACACGCTGTCTACGTGGCGAAACCGATTTCCTCCCGACGGTGTCCCGATTTTTAACTCGAGAGAACTCGTGCCTGTACTTCGCTCGAACTTTCACACGTCCGAGGGAAGAAGAAAGAAAGAAAGAAAGAAAGAAGTCTATCAGAAGTCCCAGAGGAGAGAAAACGTTGTTTGAAGGGAGGGGGGAAAACGTTGTTGGATTTTTCGATGTAAGAAACCGCGCGTGCGGTTGTGTGCGAGTCGGCAAGGATTACCGTCGGCCTTTTTCATCTCTCTGATATCGGAACTCGCACCTACGATTATCCGGCTATACACGGTTCCTTGTCAACACTCGATCTCTACCGGTGCTCTGAATAGCGCATTTGTTACACCAGGTCAGTTAAGATAATTTTATTTCGTCCGTTCGATGCCTCTGTGCTACATGCATCGACATATGTAGCTACACGTGTAACTCAACAAGCCGCGCGTGTCCTATCGTCTTTATTTATTTTCCATTCTGATATACAGATTTCCTGTTTGCTGTTTTTTCCATCTAATCTCGCGCCCGTGATCCGCGTTGCAATTGTCACAGTGATCGTGACGAGCAGTTTGTGACTTTATTAGAGACAGAGAGAAGTTTAAAGAAGACTATCAGTCAATTTACAAAGACCAATGAAAAGATCATTCCATGTTCTTTGTCCAATTTTGATTGATTCACGGTAATTGTATAATGCGAGAGCACACTTCCACCTTTTTACTGAAGGCAAGAAAGAACAGCACAAACTGTGGAAATATAAATCCAGTTAACACAAATGGAAGAATTTAAGCACCAGAGAGAAGGAGCGTGTAATCTACAGAGATTACAAAGAAACCTCTTTCGAAATACGGCAACCATGTCGAGTGTATCCTTTGCCCTTTGTGAAAAGTCAATTTTCCAAAGACTGAGACAATCCTCTAAGAAATTAGCCCTTACTCCGACCATAAGAACTTGTAATTAGTTTTACAAGTTCTATTGAAAGTCACATTAAAGAAATTCAGTGGAAAACTGGAAACTGTCAGAAATGTGAAACAACGAGGAAATATAATAGCAACGTCGGTCATCAATCAGACAACGATTCTCCAAATATTTTGACAAATTATTCGACTTTAGCAACTTCAACATCTCGATATTAACGATGTTCGGCTGGAAGTTCGGCCCATTCACACGGTCAAAATTCTCAATCTTTACAACTTGATTTTGGAATTAATCCCTTCGAAATTTCAAATTCTTGTTTTTTTTCACTCGTTCGTCACGTACAAGTCCACCTCGTTCTCCGAGTGATATTTGCAATACAGATTTCTAATACTCGCTTTAATCAGAGCGAGTCCGCATCAGGATTTACGTACTTCCACTTTACAATACGGGCATGTATGGGCACACATATCGGCGGAGAGCAAGAGAGAGAGAGAGAGAGAGAGAGAGAGGAGGGAACATTTTGCGTACGATCCGACGGGAAAGTGAGACGGTCGAGGGAACAAAGAAAGAGGGCTCATGGGGCTCGTTGCCACCCCATTATAGCGTTCGCGCTTCCATCTCGCCATGCGAAATGGTGAAAGCGCGTGCCCTGCTTTTCCTACCTCGTGTGTCCTTGTCTTCTCTTTCTTCCACCCCCTTAACCGCCATTCCCCCGTACTCGATGCAACTCTCTCTCTCTCTCTCTCTCTCTCTCT